CCTCCCCCACCCCCTGTCTCCGCTATTGACGCAATTAGTATACATCCAAAAACATTTCTTGACAATATAGATAGAAAACATTTTTKCTAAGCAACTATATGAAGAAAAAAATATACTTCTTTCCAATCATGTTTTCTTTAAGGAATAAAAAACAGTTTTTTCGAAGCTTAGTTTCCAGCTTCTCGAGTGTTCTCTCCACATCCCAAGTGTTTTTATCAGAGTATAATACACGGAAAACTGTTTTTTATTGCTTTTATAAAATAACAAGCGCTCAAAAAGCCGAGAAAAAAAATGACGCGAGCGTGTATTATGCTCTCATTAAACAAGGCTTTTTGGCCAATCAGAACGCGCGTAATATGAAAGTTATTTTATAAATATAATTTAAAAGCATTTGGAAACAATTTTTTATATGCAAAATCACGAAATAGCAATTTTTTCTTTGTCACGTGCTCATTAGAAGTGACATACGTTTTTGGTCTCAAACATTACTAAGATTATTGGTTTGACCAGACAAAAGCAGATGCGAACATGCATGCTTTSTATGAAGAGACCTGTCGACACAGCGACCTCTTGCTTGAAATAAATACATCATATATATCACCAGTACAGTAACAAGCACATAGCATATGACGTCACAGCCAATCGTCACGAAATCAATGTACCTAACGGAAAATAATGTGTGCATGACTGTAAGATAAAACTATGAAATGAAGGGCTGYTACTACGTGAGAATTTTGAATAAAAACAACACGGCTGAGTCAACACTAAACCATTCAAGACCGAACTGAACGTGGATACTACRTCGACCTCTTCAACATGCCGTAGTTTAAAAACAGCGAGATGACTATCTACTACCTTATTTGGACTTTTGCGAGGGCAAAAATGGCGAAATTGAAGAAGACACGCAAACTAATTCATTAAAAATGCTCATAAATWTAAAGCAATCATTTGGCAAAAACGCGAAAATAAGTGCAAATTAGTGCAAACAAAGTACTAGGTCGACCATATGGTGACGTCACAGATTAGAGGGCTTTCACTTATTATCGGGGGGGGGGGGGGGGGGGGGGTCTGGCAAATTTTTTTACATCTGTCTGCAAGCATTTAATAACCCCCCCAGTATGTGTTGTAAATCAAATCACAAACCCCCCCTCCCTTATTAAAAGACTAAGATTATAAGACCCCCCTGCATAACAAGTATAGACATCTTCAAAAAAAAATCATCAACCCCTCATCCCAATCCCCCCCTAAGCTAATAAATGAAAGCCCCCTTAATGCGGTCCCAGTCATTTTCAACGAGAAACAGCTCCTACCCACAATTCTAAGCGCGTGTGATAATGAAAGGCTGAACCAGAGCCAACTCATGTGAAATATGGCTGAAAATCGTAAGAGCAAGAAAGAACGATTAAGCCAGATCGAATACATAAAAATCTAGAAACGTCTCTGCTTGAAAGCATTTTTATTAGCGTKTTAAAGTGGTCATTTTATGCTTAATTGACCGTACATAGCTGGTATCGAAATGTATTTGAACTTGGATGAAATATTACAAAGTACGTAAATGCTACTGCAAACAACAAATCAAATTTCTCCTTGAGTTTGATTAATTTAATTAGCATGATTGACTGGTTAAATCTTAGTATAAGGACTTGGGCATAACCGCAAATATTATATTGTGTTTTCATTGATGCAACCGGCGTTTCTGGATAATTTCAGCGTAAAAGTACAAGAACCAACCACGTTTGCCGGTGGGATCAATTATGGTAAAAGCTATGTACGAGTTTATGAAAATTAAGATAACATTTTAAAATTCGCACTTTGTTTCATGAAACAAAAATTACTTTTTTAGATGTACAGGATGGCAATGTTTAAGCGGGGAAAACTTTGGTATGTTATAGTTAACGTTTGCGAATTCCATCGAATATTTTCTTTCATCAGTGCAATTTATAATGATTCGATTTTATGTCGTGGTAGTCTATTTCTTTAAACAATTAAAACAAACGATGGAGATCATTTGTGTTGCAGCCACACGCTTTTATCTTCGTACAGAGACGATATTACATCACTATAATGATGCCTCTCTTAAGACTAGCCTTATTCCCTTAATTCGRCCATCATAGCAAGATAACAACAATCCGTTAGACTATTTTGAGCKTRCTTTTCTAATGAAAAGTTTTAAAACAAGAGTTCAATACGAGGATGAAAAGGAAAAAGATTCCGAAAAACATTTCRGAATGGTTGTCCGCTTCCATTGTCAMTAGKGAATTATTATGAAGGCCAATGAAGCTGTGCATGGATTTAATCCTTWTATCATGACTAACTTCCAAGTACATGTTTTCATTTTTTGTTCTTTTGTTATGGTATTGCTATAGCTGAGAGGAACACCGTCGATGCAAAATATTTTCGAGTTTTATCTTTCTCCCTTTTATATTTCGCAGCAAAGGACAACAGCCGCTGCAAAATGTCACAGACGTTTCCGTCAATTCCAATAATTTACTCAAAAAGCCCGATTCTTTATAGTTTGGCTAGTTTTTGTCATCAAATCCTTAAACATTTAGTTCATTTATAAAATGTTGAGATTTTATTCGGGGACAGACATCAAAGGCTTACTTTATAAGTCCATATTCCTTGCAAATTTGTCGGTTTTTTGTGCGTAAAAGCACTAATTTTGAGAATAGAATATGAATCTAACATAAAGTTCCTCTAAAAACGTTTTCAAGTTATTTAGTACTTGATTGTCATATCATTAATTTAAACATAAATAATGACTGTCACAGAAAAAATGACAAATTTACTAATAACTTTGCTAGAGAATTCTAGACATCTGCAGTTAGCTGAGCATGAAATTCTTAAATAAAAGAACTTCCAAAGTTTAAAAAACTTTAGCGTGATATCTTCCAGTTAAAAGTACAAAATAAAATCTATTATCCAAATTCTTACCTTAAATACTTTCTCTAAACCCACTTTTCTCTTATAAAAGAGATCTTATTGCAAAATATCGTTGTCCTTCACTTGCGAGCGCGTTGTTTAATCTAACGAATTTCTGTCTAAACTTGGCTTTTATGCGCTGCGCTCTCGGCTGAAATATCGTTTTGTGGTCAAATTAGAGTGTATTGAATTCCAACCTCTGGCTTTTCGCTTAAGCGGCGTAATATCTCAAACAGTCAACAACTCAATCTTATGTAAGTGATCACCTACAGTTCAGAGGAAATTAGATAGTTTTGATCGTAAGAGTTCACGTTTTCGCTTACGTCTGCGATAGCTCAACGTATCTGCAGCGCTAAGCACTMGTAAACAAAGGTTTTTTTTACTTTACGCGTATAATTGTGGCTTTTATTAACCCGGAAATAAGTGTAATAAGAAGTATGATAAACCGAACATACGTGCACAATGATCAGTCTGAGTAAAGTGCTGTACGTAAAGTTTGTTTCACGGCTTGTGAAAATTATATTTGAGTAAATTCAGTATGTTTTAATAGGAAAGCACTTATTTATGCTCACCGCTTAATGTATAGGCGGAGGTTTTTGGATAAATAAATAAATAAATAGTGGATGACATTTTTTATAATTTTGTTTTCTATTCTTTTTTTGGTCACAATACTTCAGTTTTGAGATCTTCTTTGGGCAGCCTTAACCTCGACAGCATGTAATATGAAAAAAAATTTGAGTACAAAGAAGACAATTAAAAATGTAGTGCTTGATTGAGGTAGTAGGCTTGCACAAAAGAGAATTCGAAACTGGAGTATTCAAGTACATTTTTGGAGAAGTTTCCAAAAATCAAAGATATTTCTATTATATTCCGTCAAAGTGCTATCGTCCACTAGCATTCAATGCGGTCATATACATTTTTTCAGTTTCGTATAAGGGAAATAAGCTGACATCGACTACCTATTTGCAATCCGTTTCCATCCGTCTGTTTTAAGTTCGAATCTTGCAATATTTCCATTCATAGAGCATAAAGGGAAAATAAAGAGTAAGAATTTGCTTATATTACAATGTATTATTATTTCTAAACGTAAACAAAAGCTTGAAAGGGATTCCGGTTGACCATGGGTCTTTAAAATTTGTCTAATGCTACTTTCAGCTATCTATATAAATACAATGCCATAGTTCTTGTGGAAGAGTCAACTGTAGAGTTTTTATTGAATTTTTTTACAATGTAATGTTATTAAAAAATAATAATGAGTCAAATTTTGGTCAAAATTCTTAAAAAAGCAACATATATGCAATGTTAATAATAGAGGGAAATATAAACTTAACTTAATTCAGTTTTTGTCGCTTTTTTGGCATTTTCAGTAACTCTCCTTGTTATCGTTATAATCTATATTATTGTTATATATGCAATCATTGTGGTTTTCCAATCAGTAATGCACTTCATAAAACATCACCTCTAAAGAATCTAGAAAAAATTCCTTTTTGACAATTAGAATAGTGATTTACATGATTGCACCATTAACAAACTCTAATTTGCAAATTAATATCAAATTGAGACTAAATATTTTCTCTATAAAATTTTCCTTGCTACATGTTTTCGTCGTTAGTGTCACGTCTAGAGTGAAAGTTTATACAGCTCACCCTTCGTTGACGTACAATGTCGGCAACCGGACTTTCGCCACGTAAAAAAATATTTTGTGTTTACCAGGGATATAACATGTAATTACTGAACCACAGTGTAGGTTCTGCGTGCTTTAATGATGAGGAAATTCCAGTGGATTCCTGATGGCTAGCGCGGTAAAGAAATTTGTTCTCACAAGTGTTTCCTGAAATGAAGTGTCTTGGTAATTGCGGCTTGGAAAAACTCATGTTTGAAATTTTGCTATAAGCTTTCTTCTCGTATCCAAAGGAGAATTTAACAAGGATGGAATCAAAGCAAAGAGAGAAAACCTAAAGAAGAACAAGAAGAACAAGAAGAACAAGAAGAACAAGAAGAACAAGAAGAACAAGAAGAACAAGAAGAACAAGAAGAACAAGAAGAACAAGAAGAACAAGAAGAACAAGAAGAACAAGAAGAACAAGAAGAACAAGAAGAACAAGAAGAACAAGAAGAACAAGAACAAGAAGAACAAGAAGAACAAGAAGAAGAAATTAAAGAAAAGAAAAACAATTAAGACCTCCATGCATGCAATAACGACCAAGTAATTGGCTTCTCCAGACATGCAAAATATAAACAGACCACTATTTACTATATAATAACAGTATAAATGATGTAAACACAGTCGAACAAGCATTATTGATTCTAAAAATATTTTCATTGTAAACGCTATTTCTGAACACAAACTAACAATACGAATTTCTTTGACACTTTTTAAATAAACATTATTGAACTATGCCCCACTGCTCTCGATTTGCACTTGAACAATTCGCACTATCCTCTAAATCGGTAAGCTAAGTAAGCTAAAGAAAGAGCTAAAGAAAGAGCTTCTTCTAAAAGAAGCTTTTGAGCAGATTCTGAGTGTAAAGTTTCAAAGTTTGTTTATTTGGTCAGTTATAAGTCTGAGGTGATATTAGAATGGTCGTCTAGCACCTACAGTTGTTCATCTAAGATCCAAGATATAATTTCCATTTTGATTATTCTACTTCTTTAAATCCAATTGCTGATGCCCTTCATTAACGAGAATTCATCGTGTGTGATAGTCTAAGACTCTGATCACAACATCTGCCTTTGTAATTATACCTTAAATCAAAAGCAATTCTCCACGATAATCCCAGCAATCTCGAAATAACTTTCACTGACTTATTTTCTAATCGCCAAGTCGAGTCGCTCGTTAAGATCCACTAAGTTACATTTAATATCCTCCGTCTGTCGCTTTTCTTTTGACCTGGAGCAAAAACTAAGCATGGTTCCCATTAAATCACCCATTTGGCGTGTCAGTTTGGCAAGGGTAAAGGGTGTGGCTAGTCCTGATTGCCCAGATGCGTGGGCTGGTCTAGCACGCCCACTTCGCTCAAGTGGTTATTGACTACCATAAGCAGATCAGGAAGAATTCCTATGTTTACAAAACTCTTCATTGCACTTAATGTTCATTGCTAATGCTAAATACTACAAAAAGATTTGGTTGGTATTGATTTTATAAGGTTTACGAAGATCATATTGTTTTTCTAAATACTTCTAAGAAGCAACCTCGGAAATTGTTTTACGGAATTGTTAATAACTGTTATGACAATGCACCAGTACTAATACATTTAAAATACAAATAAAACTATAAGTTTTAAATTTTCGTTGGAACCAGATGAACTATTCTAAAAAAAGTATATAATAAAGAAATTTGATAATTGTCTTCAAAATGATCAGAGTACAAATGCAAAAACATTTAATTTTTCTTTTCTAGGACAATTTTACATAGGTACATACACTTTATTCCATAAGCACCAGTAATGGTACATTAGAATTTTCTAAATTTAACAGTTTAAAATATAAACTTAGAAAACTATAACAAGATCATATCATACCATATTGCACAAATCTTTGTAGATTTAACATTTCAATTTTAAATGATTACATTCGAATACATAATTCACTTTTGCACTATGTATTAAAAAAAATTGTATAATAATTGTGTTTAACTAAAATCCTTGCAAATCACCGTAAATTCGTGCACCTATCAGCGTTGTAAACAACGTTCCTCATTTCAAGAACTCACGTGTCTTGCTCACATCCCACTCCACATCGTTCTCAAACCACACAAGTTACATCACCCGCTCCAAAATCATGTTCAACTAATTGTTTTTTCCTTGTTGAGAAGTGGTCCGGAGTTAACAATTTTCCTGTTTTCGGAAGTAGATAGCTTTCACGAAGACCGCGAGAATCTCTTTGAACGGAATATCGTAATCATCACGTTCCTGGCCAGACTACCCCTGATGTGTGCTAAAGGTTTTAACAGGATTAGGAAGTGGCTGTAGGTCTAAACTATAGAAGTGTCAAATAATTTAACATTCACGAAAGAGTTCTATCTAAAGAAAAAATTAGAAGATATCGGTTTTTTTGCCTAAAAATCCAAAAAAGATTTTCTAGACTAAAGTTTACCAAGAGTTTCCAATGTTTAAAAGTATTTTTTCAGTTTCAAACTCGGGCTTACCACACACTCAGATTGTGACGCGCTTGGAGGCCTTGTGGGTTTCCTGTGGCATGGGATGACGGGTGATGGATGATTTTCATCAATGTCGGAATATTTTGTTTTTGTACGTATTTGTTGTCAAAATTCGTGATAGATTTATAGAATATTTAAAAATGAATAAAAAGGAGCGGGATTTATTGAGTTTGCTACAGGCGCTCAAAGATCGCTCACATGGGACTCCCAGACTGTACCAATGCCAAAACGTTTTGAAAAATTAACCCCAAATCAAGAAACATTGACATCATTGCTACCGGATCTTGTTCACTTAAAGACATAAAGACAACAACAAACTCATTTGCATAGATATGTTTTGAATATTTGCAGCAAGAATTATGATTATAAACTTTAGATAAATATCGAGTCAAATTTTGTAGACATTGTAAAGAAGTTTTGAAAAGCTTTATGTTAAATTATTTTGGCAAAGAAATTAAAAGAATGATATATACAAATAACTGTTGCTGTATTTACGTCTTTATGAACAACGTACGTTTAAATGGAATTGACTGTGTGTATAAAGTAAAGTAATGGCAATATAGTGCTCTCGACATTGGAACCCGGGGGGGGAGATACTCGACCCCGTTTTGGATAGGTACGTGCCGTCAGCGGTCTAAAACCACAAAAACACACAAAAAATCGTCTCGGTCTTTTATCTAAATTGTAGAGCCTGTTTAAGACAATTTCGCGTGAAATGTGTACCCTGTTTAAGACAGCAAGGCCAAAAACCATAACCTGGCCAGCGGCACGTCCCCGTATAGCCCCCCGGGGCATATCAATAGTCAAAGATACAGATCTTTCAAAACTGGAATAGATTGACTTTTTAGAATCACGCATTTTTTCATGATTAATTGTTACCCTCCTGCTGTCACTAAACTGGTATAATGGTGTTTCAAACCTTTATTATTCCAGGATAAGGTCAGGATTTTATTGTTTCCGGCAGCAGAGATGATTTTTTTACATGCAATTATATTAAGTGTGATCATTTGAGTTTGATTTAAGAAATATAAAACGGCACGCGTGTCTCTGTCCTCTGAGATAAACACGGTGGGAGTTCGAAAAACACGAGAGAAGCAAGCTTAGGAACACGAGCGTAGCGAGTGTTTCTCTTGCTTCTCGAGTGTTTTTCAACTCCCACCGTGTTAATATCAGAGGACAAAGACACAAGCGGCCGTTTTATATTTCTTTTATAAAATTTTTCGAGCGAAAAGAAAATTTTGCCGGTAAGCCGTGTCTCTGTCTTCTCATATAAATACGGTCGCCAGCCAATCAAAGCGCGCATTATGTATCGAAAATT